CCACTGGGAGACAAGCACAGGCTGCTAGGGACCTACACTTAACTGGAATCCCCACAGGGAGACAAGCACAGGTTGCTAGGTACCTACATTAAACTGGAATCCCCACTGGGAGACAAGCACAGGCTGCTAGGGACCTACACTAAACTGGAATCCCCACTGGGAGACAAGCACAGGCTGCTAGGGACCTACACTAATCTGGAATCCCCACTGGGAGACAAGCACAGGCTGCTAGGGACCTACACTAAACTGGAATCCCCACAGGGAGACAAGCACAGGTTGCTAGGGTACCTACATTAAACTGGAATCCCCACTGGGAGACAAGCACAGGCTGCTAGGGACCTACACTAAACTGGAATCCCCACTGGGAGACAAGCACAGGCTGCTAGGGGTCCTGCCTAAACTGGAATCCCCACAGGGAGACAAGCACAGGTTGCTAGGGTACCTACACTAAACTGGAATCCCCACTGGGAGACAAGCACAGGCTGCTAGGGCCCTACACTAAACTGGAATCCCCACTGGGAGACAAGCACAGGTTGCTAGGTACCTACACTAACCTGGAATCCCCACAGGGAGACAAGCACAGGCTGCTAGGGGTCTAGCCTAACCTGGAATCCCCACTGGGAGACAAGCACAGGCTGCTAGGGGTCTAGCCTAACCTGGAATCCCCACTGGGAGACAAGCACAGGCTGCTAGGGGTCTAGCCTAACCTGGAATCCCCACAGGGAGACAAGCACAGGTTGCTAGGGACCTACACTAATCTGGAATCCCCACTGGGAGACAGGCACAGGTTGCTGGGGACCTACACTTAACTGGAATCCCCACAGGGAGACAAGCACAGGTTGCTAGGTACCTACATTAAACTGGAATCCCCACTGGGAGACAAGCACAGGTTGCTAGGGACCTACACTAAACTGGAATCCCCACTGGGAGACAAGCACAGGCTGCTAGGGACCTACACTAAACTGGAATCCCCACTGGGAGACAAGCACAGGCTGCTAGGGACCTACACTAAACTGGAATCCCCACAGGGAGACAAGCACAGGTTGCTAGGGACCTACACTAAACTGGAATCCCCACTGGGAGACAAGCACAGGCTGCTAGGGCCCTGCACTAAACTGGAATCCCCACTGGGAGACAAGCACAGGTTGCTAGGGTACCTACACTAATCTGGAATCCCCACAGGGAGACAAGCACAGGCTGCTAGGGACCTACACTAATCTGGAATCCCCACAGGGAGACAAGCACAGGTTGCTAGGTACCTACAGTTAACTGGAATCCCCACTGGGAGACAAGCACAGGCTGCTAGGGACCTACACTAAACTGGAATCCCCACTGGGGGAGACAGGCACAGGTTGCTAGGTACCTACAGTTAACTGGAATCCCCACTGGGAGACAAGCACAGGCTGCTAGGGACCTACACTAAACTGGAATCCCCACTGGGAGACAAGCACAGGCTGCTAGGGACCTACATTAATCTGGAATCCCCGCAGGGAGACAAGCACAGGTTGCTAGGTACCTACAGTTAACTGGAATCCCCACTGGGAGACAAGCACAGGCTGCTAGGGACCTACACTAAACTGGAATCCCCACTGGGAGACAAGCACAGGTTGCTAGGGACCTACACTAATCTGGAATCCCCACTGGGAGACAGGCACAGGTTGCTGGGGACCTACACTAAACTGGAATCCCCACAGGGAGACAAGCACAGGTTGCTAGGTACCTACATTAAACTGGAATCCCCACTGGGAGACAGGCACAGGTTGCTGGGGACCTACACTTAACTGGAATCCCCACTGGGAGACAAGCACAGGCTGCTAGGGACCTACACTAAACTGGAATCCCCACTGGGAGACAAGCACAGGCTGCTAGGGACCTACACTAAACTGGAATCCCCACAGGGAGACAAGCACAGGTTGCTAGGGACCTACACTAAACTGGAATCCCCACTGGGAGACAAGCACAGGCTGCTAGGGCCCTGCACTAAACTGGAATCCCCACTGGGAGACAAGCACAGGCTGCTAGGGACCTACACTAAACTGGAATCCCCACTGGGAGACAAGCACAGGTTGCTAGGTACCTACACTAATCTGGAATCCCCACAGGGAGACAAGCACAGGCTGCTAGGGACCTACACTAATCTGGAATCCCCACAGGGAGACAAGCACAGGTTGCTAGGTACCTACAGTTAACTGGAATCCCCACTGGGAGACAAGCACAGGCTGCTAGGGACCTACACTAAACTGGAATCCCCACTGGGAGACAAGCACAGGCTGCTAGGGACCTACACTAATCTGGAATCCCCACTGGGAGACAAGCACAGGCTGCTAGGGACCTACACTTAACTGGAATCCCCACAGGGAGACAAGCACAGGTTGCTAGGTACCTACATTAAACTGGAATCCCCACTGGGAGACAAGCACAGGCTGCTAGGGACCTACACTAAACTGGAATCCCCACTGGGAGACAAGCACAGGCTGCTAGGGCCCTGCACTAAACTGGAATCCCCACAGGGAGACAAGCACAGGTTGCTAGGTACCTACACTAAACTGGAATCCCCACAGGGAGACAAGCACAGGCTGCTAGGGACCTACACTAAACTGGAATCCCCACTGGGAGACAAGCACAGGTTGCTAGGTACCTACACTAATCTGGAATCCCCACAGGGAGACAAGCACAGGCTGTTAGGGGTCTAGCCTAACCTGGAATCCCCACTGGGAGACAAGCACAGGCTGCTAGGGACCTACACTAAACTGGAATCCCACAGGGAACAATCACAGGCTGCTAGGGACCTACACTAAACTGGAATCCCCACATGGGAGACAAGCACAGGTTGCTGGGGACCTACACTAAACTGGAATCCCACTGGGAGACAATCACAGGCTGCTAGGGACCTACACTTAACTGGAATCCCCACAGGGAGACAAGCACAGGTTGCTAGGGTACCTACATTAAACTGGAATCCCCACTGGGAGACAGGCACAGGTTGCTGGGGACCTACACTTAACTGGAATCCCCACAGGGGAGACAAGCACAGGCTGCTAGGGACCTACACTAAACTGGAATCCCCACTGGGAGACAAGCACAGGCTGCTAGGGACCTACACTAAACTGGAATCCCCACAGGGAGACAAGCACAGGTTGCTAGGGACCTACACTAAACTGGAATCCCCACTGGGAGACAAGCACAGGCTGCTAGGGCCCTGCACTAAACTGGAATCCCCACTGGGAGACAAGCACAGGCTGCTAGGGACCTACACTAAACTGGAATCCCCACTGGGAGACAAGCACAGGTTGCTAGGTACCTACACTAATCTGGAATCCCCACAGGGAGACAAGCACAGGCTGCTAGGGACCTACACTAATCTGGAATCCCCAAGGGGAGACAAGCACAGGTTGCTAGGGTACCTACAGTTAACTGGAATCCCCACTGGGAGACAAGCACAGGCTGCTAGGGACCTACACTAAACTGGAATCCCCACTGGGAGACAAGCACAGGTTGCTAGGGACCTACAGTTAACTGGAATCCCCACTGGGAGACAAGCACAGGCTGCTAGGGACCTACATTAATCTGGAATCCCCAAGAGGGAGACAAGCACAGGCTGCTAGGGTACCTACATTTAACTGGAATCCCCACTGGGAGACAAGCACAGGCTGCTAGGGACCTACACTAATCTGGAATCCCCACTGGGAGACAAGCACAGGCTGCTAGGGACCTACATTAATCTGGAATCCCCACAGGGAGACAAGCACAGGTTGCTAGGTACCTACAGTTAACTGGAATCCCCACTGGGAGACAAGCACAGGTTGCTAGGGACCTACACTAAACTGGAATCCCACAGGGAGACAATCACAGGCTGCTAGGGACCTACACTAAACTGGAATCCCACAGGGAAACAATCACAGGCTGCTAGGGACCTACACTAAACTGGAATCCCGAATGGGAGACAAGCACAGGTTGCTGGGGACCTACACTAAACTGGAATCCCACAGGGAGACAAGCACAGGCTGCTAGGGACCTACACTAAACTGGAATCCCCACAGGGAGACAATCACAGGCTGCTAGGGACCTACACTAAACTGGAATCCCGAATGGGAAACGTGCACAGGTTGCTAGGGACCTACACTAAACTGGAATCCCACAGGGAGACAAGCACAGGTTGCTAGGGACCTACACTAAACTGGAATCCCTACTGGGAGACAAGCACAGGTTGCTGGGGACCTGCACTAATCTGTAATCCCAACAGGGAGACAAGCACAGGTTGCTAGGGACCTATTTTTTCCTGGATTCCTTGAGTCTGATCAGTGTAAAGATTAATTATTGTCCATTGTACAAATAAATTGGAAATAAATAATCTGTTTTAGCAGCATCTAATCATATTTCTAACTTTCTATTTCTTGCAATTAAATCTGCAATAATCACTCTCACTCACTCATCCCACTGACTGACTAACTTGCTCAATCCACTCACTTACTCACATAGCATTAGTAACAATTATTCAGTTGTCACCTTGTGACATGATTGTTCTTGTGTCCATGTAGACAGGTGTGATTGGTAGTCAGGGGCAACACTGGTTGGTGATTGTAAAGCAGGTAAATATCATTGTTTGGGATATTGATTTCCCAAGTGGAAGTGTGAACTGCCGTTACACGGTGGACATCATGGAGAGGACATCATGTAGAGGACATCATGTGGAGGACATTGTGTACAGGAAGTGTGAACTGCAGTTGCAAGATGGATGCCATTGAGAGGACATCATGCAGAGGACATTGTGTAGAGGACATCATGGAGAAGACATTGTGTACAGGAAGTGTGAACTTCTGTTACACGGTGGATGCCTTGGAGAGGACATCATTTGGAGGACATTGTGTAGAGGACATCATGGAGAAGACATTGTGTAGAGGAAGTGTGAACTGCTGTTACACGGTAGATGCCTTGGAGAGGACATTGTGTAGAGGACATTGTGTAGAGGAAGTGTGAACTGCTGTTACACGGTAGACACCATGGAGAGGACATTGTGTAGAGGAAGTGTGAACTGCTGTTACACGGTAGACACCATGGAGAAGACATTGTGTACAGGAAGTGTGAACTGCTGTTACACGGTAGACACCATGGAGAGGACATTGTGTACAGGAAGTGTGAACTGCTGTTACACGGTAGACACCATGGAGAGGACATTGTGTACAGGAAGTGTGAACTGCTGTTACACGGTAGACACCATGGAGAGGACATTGTGTACAGGAAGTGTGAACTGCTGTTACACGGTAGACACCATGGAGAGGACATTGTGTACAGGAAGTGTGAACTGCTGTTACACTGTAGACACCATGGAGAGGACATTGTGTAGAGGACATCATGGAGAGGACATTGTGTACATCAAGTGATATAATTCCGACCCCAGTAGCCAGACAGTTGTTCTACAGTTATAGGTAGATACTGTGGGCTGTGAGACAACATCAAGAGTCGTTATTGCACCATTCAACTCTGACCTCATATATTTCATCTCGTAAAAGAGACATTAAGACCATAAGCGTGTTCTATTTTAGTCTGCCCTGCTTATTTATGGGTGAGAGTTTGCGTGTGTGTGTGTGTACCTGTCACATGTATGTGTGACTGTGTGTGTTGATGGAGGACTCCTAGTCTTTGCATGAATGTGTGTACACGTTAGAATAAGCTTGTGCGGGGGAATTAAGTTGGTTAGCACACAGAATTACTGACCACTGGTCTAATTCTGCTGACATTCCTTCTTTTCACGTTTCAGCCATATATACACTTGTGATGTAAGTCTGACGTAACTAACACAGACATTGTGAAACAGGTCATGAAGCTCAGACCAATGAATTATTTGCTTTTCAGGTAATGTATCCCGAATATTCTCAGAGGCAGAACAAAAGATCGTTTATAAAGCATATTCATAATTTTTGGCAAATCTCATATTAACCTTGACAACATTTTCAACGCCAACTTCCCCTTATCACTCCCCAACCTCCTTGTACCTGTTACCATCACCTGTGAAGATCCGGGTTAGAATGGACTTCAGCAACCCATGCTTGTTGTAAGAGGTTCATGCTGTTGATCACTGGATTATCTGCTGCAGTGGGCGTCCGGTCCAGACTCAGTCATTTACAAACAGCAGTCATATAGCTGGTTTGTTTGAGTGCTATTGTTAAAATAAAGAAGTTGATCGTCCATAAAGTTGTGTCATCTCTAGCATATAGCTGGAATATTGCAGAGTGTGGCATTTAGCAACAAGGAATTAAACAATCTTCCAACCATCAACCCTATTTTATTGTGTCGTAGAAAAAGGTATGCATGCTGCAAGGTATCCATGGTAACATAATTTTTTATCGAGGCTGCTTATGGAGATGTTTATGACCCTTTTCTGATAATTACAAAAGAAAATGAATAGCTGTGTAAGGTCTTGTTAGTGTAATGAACCAACTTAGCCCTGTTAGTCTTGGTCTTGTTAGTGTCGGGTCTCGTGTGTCGCTGTAGCAGCAGATGCAGCGCGCTGTCAGGTACAACTTCCCCTTTCTTGACCGTGGCTTGCAACTCCATCATCAGTAGTCAACGTATTGTTTACTGTATGTGACTGCAGGTGAGCCATAAGTATCACTGTATCATAAATGGAAATTCGCTGTTGGCAAGACACTTAGTACACATGCACTCATTGCATGTGTTGCCATGGTGATTATTGTTAAAAAGGGTGTATTTTCATCCAGTTAATGTGATTAAGGCTGCTTGAAATTCACAATCCAAATGTTGGTCAGACTTGTATTTTCTTGATTTCCGTAGATAGATATTCTTGCTTTACAAGGTACAACAATCTATGCCATGATGTCACTAGAAGAGAAGTAAACAGAAATGGCTCTTTAATGTAATTTTTTCTGTGTTTTTTCCTTAAGTTGCTGACAGACTGGCTGAATCTTTTTGCATTCAAACAACTTTTGTATAATTACCTTAATTGGCACATTATCACGAACTAGTTGACTGTGTTGGTAACATGTGACCCTGTATTTTCTTTGGGGTTTTACACAGAGGCCCAGATAAGCTGCGTATCCGGGTAAAATACGCATAGAAAATTTCCAATTACGCATTGAAAAATAATTGTTGCGTACTAATTACGCATTTAAAATGTTAGATACGCAAAAAGTTTAAAACAAATGCGTACGGAATATATTTCTAAAAATCGCTTGCGTAATGAAAAAGACATCGATTGCTATGAAGTTGTACTGTTAGTATAGGACAAGTGTTGTACTGTCAGTATAGGATGAGTGATCTTTTATGAAATCATTTCCATTATATTTAAGTTGGTTTTGATTAGGTATGACATAAGGCAGAACATACCTGCTTAGTAAACTTACTCAATGACATAATACTTAGGTGAGTAAAATGACTGAAATACGCACATATTTGAAAGCAGTGGGTAACGGAAAATGAAATACCCACTCAACATTCATAATACCCACTCCTAAAAAATACAGTGGGTACAGTACCCACGTGAGTAAATCTTATCTGGAGCTCTGTTTACATGACACACAAATGTAAATAAGCACATTTGTAATGTGCTGAATTCCGCTCCATGGAAGGGCACGCTGAAAGCGCTAACATATTATCTGATCATTTTATCCAGGATAACTCAAGCTGCCTGTGAGGTGCTAGAAGGTTACTGTCTCATGATTTATTCCACCGGGTACCCATTTTCTGCTGGGTGAACAGAGTCAATTTTGAACAAACTCACTTGCCTAAGGTGAGACCACATGTATAACATGTGCTTTGTTGTGGGGCAGGACTGAAGTCCTAGAAACTCTCAGGAGTTAAGCTGCCACACAGTCACCCATCCAAGCACTCTCCGTGCACAACGTTGCTTAACTTCAACAGATTTGTGATATTGCAGGAAATGGGATATTGCTAAAAGCAACTTAAAACCCTACTTACTCGCTCACCCACTCTTTCTTTCAGGGCAGTTACGTGCATCATTTCATCAATCAGTCCGCATGATGAATGATTAATTTCTGGCTCTAAAGAAATTAACAAAGCATACAGTTTTCTACACCATTACCTGACAGGAACCTCGAATTACCCGCAAGAACCCTTTAAACTAATAATTGTGGGTCCCCAGGACCTCCATGTTTGTGGGGGCGGTGGGGTAGCCTAGTGGTTAAAGCGTTGGCTCGTCACGCCGAAGACCCGGGTTCGAATCCCCACATGGGTACAATGTGTGAAGCCCATTTCTGGTGTCCCCCGCCGTGATGTTGCTGGAATATTGCTAAAAGCGGCTTAAAACCAAACTCAGTCAGTCCATGTTTGTGAGTCGAGGTAAAACCCTGTCCCATTGATTTAGTATAATTGCTATATGTTCTCATGGATGGTCACGTCATCCAAACTTTGTGTGGGCTTGCAGCACGTACAAGGAAAACATGTTACGCTAACCAAAGCTGTGAACAAAGACATGTTGCTAATGGATAGGAATTATAAAACTAATGATGAAAGGTTCAGCTGATGGATGCGAACACAGTTTGCTTTGTAGTTCATGTTTTTTGATAGACTGTCAATCATTTGATGCATAATTATATAGGAATATGGATGACACTGTGATGGGCTTTTGTTGGACTGCAGAACACGTCATTTGTCTTCTTCAGAAATTGTGACATTAAGGTGACATTCTGGTGCCATTAACATGATTAAACTGACATAGGGTGGTGCTTGGTAGGTGTTTTCCCATACTGCCTTCAGTTCCAAACTGCCTACAGGTTAATGAACTGACCTATTCTATGGCATCTTCCCACTCTGCCTACAGAAGTTTAAATAAATAACAAGCGTTGGTTGGTAGGACATCTTTATTTATTCTGAGAATTCTCAGTCTTTACATGGTGACATGGATTTATCATGAAAAACTGATAAGTTTTACAGTCTTTCAGCAGTTTTACTGAACATTTGCCATTATGTGATGGATGCAGTTGGTTCCCCTTCTAATTTATTAGGAGTTTAATTAACTGAGAAGATGAGATCTTCTCAACAATTTAGTCCTTTCCATGTTTTTAGACATAATCTGACAAAGACAGAAAAAGCCCGTAACAACATAGTTAAAACAAGCCTACCCAACTTAATCAAATAGGATTAAGTTAATCCTGCTTTGGAGATTACAATATAAGCATGGTAACTGCTTCCCAAAACAAAATAAAACAATATCATTGTACTTGTCTTGTAGTCTTTATTGGATGAGAAGACTCAAAACATACTATACACAGAAGTAGATGCACAGATATATACTAATATAATCCCCCTAATTATCCCTTACTCCAAACGAAGCACCCCTTCTTCATTGATAATTGGGCTGTTCCATTATTCTACAGGGCAAAAAAAATTTCCCACGGTGCCTACAAGATTTTTGTTTGGAACAGTAGGCAGTATGGGACCTAACCGCTTTGTAAGTAGAGTTTGTTTTGGTAAATGAATGATTATTAGGAAGCGCATGGGGTTAGAATATTGATCTTCAGTAACCCATGCTTGTCGTAAGAGGCGACTAACGGGATCGGGTGGTCAGGCTCGCTGAATTTGTTGACACATGTCATCGTATCCCAGTTGTGTAGATCGATGCCCGGGTATAGGTGGAATATTGCTGAGTGCGGTGTAAAACTAAAACTCACTCACTTGACATCTGTGTGGTACATGTCTGAGACCTGCGTCTCATCAGGCTTTCAGACAGCATTGAGCTGACACATGGTGACATGACTGTCATACATTTGATAGTGGCATCATACATAACTCACTCGCTAAGAAGAATCAGAGTGGATGAGGTGTGAGGTGGTTGAGGGAGGTGGGTGCATGATGAACCAAACACAAAATGATACTGAGTCTCTTTGTAACTGTGAACAAAATCTTGTTTGGGTTTGGGGATTGAAACAGGGACAGTAATAACCAAACAGACATTTCTGTGTAAACTAAATTATATTAACTATTTTAATATGTATCTATTCAGGGTCCCGCAGAGCTCCAGATAAGATTTAGCTCATGTGGGTACTGTACCCACTGTATTTCTTGAGTGGGTATTATGAATGTTGAGTGGGTATTTCATTTTCCGTTACCCACTGCTTTCAAATATGTGCGTATTTCAGTTACTTTACTCACCTAAGTATTACGTCATTGAGTAAGTTTACTAAGCAGGTATGTTCTGCCTTATGTCATACCTAATCAAAACCAACTTAAATATAATGGAAATGATTTCATAAAAGATCACTCATCCTATACTGACAGTACAACACTTGTCCTATACTAACAGTACAACTTGATAGCAATCGATGTCTTTTTCATTACGCAAGCGATTTTTATAAATATATTCCGTACGCATTTGTTTTAAACTTTTTGCGTATCTAACATTTTA